CCTCAGAGTTCTGGGAATTTTTAACTCCTTCCATCCCTCAAAATTCTGGGAATTCTCAACCCCTTAAGCCCCTCAAAATTCTGGGAATTTTTAACTTTTAAACCCCTCAACATTCTGGAAATTCCCAACTCCTTCCATCCCTCACCATTCTGGGAATTCTCAACCCCTTAAACCCCTCAGGATTCAGGGAATTTTTCCCTTTTAAACCCCTCAAACTTCTGGAAATTTTTAACTCCTTAAACCCCTCAAGATTCTGGGAATTCTCAACCCCTTAAACCCCTCAAAATTCCAGGAATTTTGAAATCCTTCAATCCCTCACAATTCTGGGAATCTTTAACTTTTAAACCCCTCAACATTCCGGGAATTCTTGTCTCCTCACCCCCCTCCTGACATCTCCCATCCCCTTCCTGTCTCTCCTGTCTCTCCCGTCTCTCCCGTCTCTCCCGTTTCTCCCGATTCTCTGGGTTCTCCGTGTTCTCCCGTCATTCCTGTGATTCCCGAGGCTGATTCCATGTTTTTCCCAGTGCGGAAGCTGGCTCCCAACGAGTTTCCCCACAAGCTGTACGTTCAGAATTACACGTCGGCGGTGCCGGGGACGTGTCTGACGCTGCGCAAGTGGCTCTTCACCCCCGCAGAGGAGGAGCTGCTCAACGACAACGACCTCGCCGTCGCCTACTTCTTCCACCAGGTGGGAATTCTGGAAGGGAATTCCCAGAGGGAATTGCAGGATGGCATTCCCAGAGGGAATCGTGGGATGGCATTCCCAAGGGGAATCGTGGGATGGCGTTCCCAAAGGGATTTGTGGGATCAGGGAGCTGGGGAGTTGGGGAGTTGTGGAATTGTAGAGACAGAGAGTCATGGAATCATAGAGTAATGGAATTACTTGTTCCACCAGGTGGGATGGAATTCCCACAGGGAATCGTGGGAATCGTGGGATCAGGGGGTCACTCACTTCTTCCACCAGGTGGGATGGAATTCCCACAGGGAATCCTGGGATCAGGGGGTCACTTACTTCTTCCACCAGGTGGGA